CTGCCCTGCATCTATCAGGGCAGAGCCTGCATGAGCCCTGTGGGCTGACCCATGCAGAGCTGCCAAGGCAGAAAAAAGTTATTCATTTTCCAATTATTTTATCAATTACTGGCATATCTCCTCTGCCTCCCAATGGATATGGTGGAACTGGAGAGCCAGCAGATTGAATTTCAGTCAGACTTTTGCCTAAGTAAGAACTGAGAGCAGCAATTAGATTTATCTTGTAAATACTCAGTACCAACATAGTGCTCTGTATGCTCCATGAGGCAAACTGATGTCTGATGATCATGGGTAGGCACGGAACTGCAGCGCACACCCATTTCTTCCACCTGCCAGAAAGATAGATTACAAGAGCAGAAGCGTATGCAGATGTTGATGCAGTGCAGAGCTGGGATAAAGTTGCCAAGTTGGGGTGCACAGCCCATCAGTGCTAGCAGAACATCATTGCTACGCCTCCAAACTGACAGGCGTTCCACCTGAGGCTTCTATACATCCCCCTAAATAAGGAGGCAGGCTAGAAAGATAGAAAACAGAGTGAACAATGATGTAAAAATTGAGGTTTTGACAGTCAGAAATACTTTAAGAACAACTCTCAACACAGTGCGCAAAAAAGATGCTAAAAGAAAGTGGTAAAACTGTTCTGTGTCTACCTATATTTTACCAAATGCTAATCGCTTAAAAGCACCTCCTGTAATTTACTGAGAGCTGACAAGGGTGGAAGAGGAGGTTTCACGTCATTTGGAAAATATGAGAAAATTATTTTCTTTTCTTTAAGCATTGTAAAGAAATATGCTTGTGTGCTACCTGAATTGGATACTATTTGCGGAGATAAAATTATGACATCTTTTCTTACACTTACCACCTTCATACAGCACTTGACTTATTACCAATCATTTGCCTGTATCAACACAGCGCAGGCCCGTGACATTGGCAGTTTGCTATTTTTAGCCAATTGGTGTAAATCATGAGCGACAACGTTCTGAAATGTCTCACTTCTGACTTGTGTTGATACTGCAGCAAGCTCAAGACTCAAGCAAGGAGAACGGCTGGCTCCACTTTCACCTGTATTTCCCATGCAACAAGGGCTAGGGGGACTGAATGGAGTAGGATCTAAATGCTGTCCAGGCAGATAAAAGATCCATCTTCTTGGAATCTAAACCATGGGAGATGGAGGTGAATAAGTGGCCACGAACAGAGCAATAGCTACAATAAGTGTTTGTGGAGATGGCTGCTAAAGCAGTAAGCATCCATCTAACGGAGGCGAGTGTTACTCCCGTGTAATTCTGCATTGTGCAAGTTATTAGTAGAAGACTGTAACAAGCTACCAGCTTCAGCTGGTGTGGCTTCAGCCTCCTTCTGGTGATATGCTGTGAAACATTACAGCTCAAGCTTCATATTTTCCATATTTATGTTCTAAAATATCCAAAGGATTCTTTACCAAGCAGCAGAGACAAAAGCTGGCTTCTTAGGAAATTGTTCCGCATTCATTCACACACAGTACAGGCTTACCCTGCCGTGTGCAATGGCTCCCCTGACAGTGAAAAGGCACTAAGGCACCAGAGCTGTATGAGCATAACGTTTTTGGGTAGTTAATAGAAACCAACATTATCAGGCAGACCAATATTTACCCCTGCAATGGGAGCATTACTCATTGAATAGCATCTTAAACTGTCCAACTAACTTTATACACTCACAATAAATAAATTCTGTTCTCTTTTATTATCAAAATTAATTACAGACAAGGTAAGTCGTAACAGCCTCACTTTCAGCTTAGATTTAAGGACAGTGAATATAAAAACTGTGCATATCTGATTCATCAGAAATGAAGTGCCTAACCCACAGTAAATTACTCTGTCCGCTGCTCTGTGGGGGCAGATGTCTATACACAGTATTGCGATGTGGTGCCTTTTGGAGGGACCAAACAGGAGGGAGGAGGAAAACAGTTAGCTAAAATGTAATGACTCTTACGATATGGCATCATTGCATCCTGCCACTACTGTGATGTGGCCATTCTTCTGTAACTGACATTTGCTGTTTTTATTGGAAATGACATAGCTTAAATGAATAGGTCCTCAAAATATAAGTTTCAATTTCATTCAGGAGCCATCGCGCCTGCAGTAGTGTGCTGAGTCACCCACTGAGCTCTGGCACAGGCCCAGGGAACCCGGCCGTGCCATCCTGCGTGGTTCACCCTAGGGATGTGCCATGGGAGCAGACCTTCCCAAGCTGCTGCCCCACACCATGCAGCGTGCCCCTTCCCACCGCACCGCTGCCTGGTGACCGGGGATGCCATCGAACGGCTGTGCTTCCTGAGCCCAGCTCAGCCTTGGCTATGAACCCAATGGAGGAATTCAAGTGGAATGAAATGTCTGCTTTAAGCACACGTTAGTTTTATATTATCTGTGTTTTAATGAAGCAAAGTCTCAATTTGTTGTTCTAACAGATGGTGGTTCTTCTATCTATATGTAAATTTTGAATATTCTGCTTACATTTTCAAATTTGTGAACATGACTGTTGCTTAAGTCTGTAAAACACTTAGAGGGTGAAAAATCCCTTAGACAATAGGAATAATCCATAAGATACACCCCTGAGATGGGTACGGTGAGCGCTGTGCTTGCCGTTCGGTACCCAGGGACAGTCCGGCCGGAGCCGGGCGCTGCTCGGGCGCTGCTGGCCCCGCTCTGCGCTCAGTCCTTCTCGTGGTGACTGTGCTATTAGATTCCGCTGATGTGCTTCTTTTACAAATCAATCATTGTAGGGGTAATTAACATTTAAAAGCCAGGTTTCTTTTAATTCCATTAATATATTTGTGACAAGAAATGTGTTGGCAGAATCCAAAGGTTAAGAGTTACAATGAAGAACAAGTTTTAGAATAAATGAAAGTTAAGGCCTAAAAGGGGCTGACAATGCCCCATTAATCTGCACGCTATTGACACAATAGTGCTCTGTTGTGTCAATGAGGATTTAAGAAGCTTTGCGGCGCATGTAACTGATGGTTTATCATATCAATAGGAGCCTGCATGTATTGGTGCTTAAAAACCTGTGGCTGTATAATTCCCTGCCGGCACCCTCTGTAAGTGCACATACTTTTAATCCCCACAGAAAGTGGCTCTAGCCATGCTGCAAGTTTTGAAACTGGAATAAACCACCATCTTTAATATTTCAGCATAGATCTGTCTATGCTCGACTATCCCAAAGCTCTGTACTTCAAACCAAAGGCCTTTGCCATACAGCAGTGTGATCGGATGCTCAGCATCGCATTCATCTCACCTCGATGTATGGACGCCCTCCAACAGTCCGTGGCTGGGACGGGCAATGGAAGGGAGATCCCGCAGGGTGGGTCGGCAGCCCCGACCCCAGCCTGGGGTGACTGCCCGTGGACAGGCACAGAGCTGCTCTGGGAGCCAAGTGCTTCTTTTAGGGGTGGTCACATTTGTGCTCTGAGCCTTTTTGTCCTTGCGTTATGGTTTGATTCCCAACGCAGTGAATAGCCTCTATCAGAGCATTTTCACGCGCCGTGCAAATGTCTGTGCTCTTAGACAAGGGCTGTGTCTGAGAAGGAGAAAATCAAGTCTTTGCACCTTTAACAAGGCAGCGGCACTTGGGGTGCAACATAGCAGCGCTGTGTTTGCTGCGAGGAAACCCATAATGATCTCGCCTTTAGCCTGTCACCACTAGGAAACATCAGAGAGAGACAGCCAAGGGACGGACTTGCCAAAAACGTCCTATTCCCATGGCTGAGAGATTTTGTTGGCACCATCTCTAAAGAGAATTTACTATGGGCCGCATCCTGGCGCCCTCGCACAGAGGAGTCGGTTCCCGAGAGGCAGCGCTCCCCCTGCGAGGAGCACAGAGCCCGCAGGCTCCGCTCGGTGCCGCCCGGTGCCACACAACTCATCGCCCACGGGGCACAGGGCAGGGGCCCGGGTTCAGCCTGGGAGTGACTGCCACCCCTCCTCAGTCACGGTTTCTGTTGCTTTTACTCCGAATTCTTCTGTTTCCCCGTTTAAAAAAGAAAAAAAAAAAGAAAGAAAGAAAAAAAAAAAAAGCGTATATGATAGAGTTGGGTGAGTAATCCTTCTTCTTTTCATCTTCTTTCGGGGGCATCCGAAGTATTTCGTGGCACTTTAAGTTTTAATTAATTAGAGTTTAACGTGGGGAAGAAAGAAAAAAAAAAAAAACAATGAATGTATGACAGCTGTTCCCCGGACTTCACGTCTGGGATCCAGCCCTTTGTTTCTGGAATAGATATAGGCATTTCGGACGGGCACTTAAGGATGTCATTTCAAGGACGTCCCCCACTACCACCCGCGAAGTATTCATCTGCAAAATTGAGTCTCATTAGGCTGCAAAATTGCACTGCGAGCGATGGCTTTGGAAGTAGGAAAGCACCGTCTGCGTCGAGGCGCGGAGCTGGCCACGCTCCGGCCGCCCCTCCGCCGCCTGCAACAGCCGTTCCCCCGGCTGGGGCCGCCCGAGCCGCGAAGCCGGGTCGACGGAGCGCGCTAATCGCGCGGAGCTCCGCGGGGCCGCCCGGGGGCAGCGGCGTGAGCGGGGCGAGCCCGGCGCTGCCCGAGGCAGGGACGGGCGGAGGCGGGGGCCGGGGCCGGGCGGCGCCGGGGCCGGTACCGGGGTAGGGCCGCCCCCGTACGGCGCTGCTCTGCGCGGGGCCCGGCCGGGGGCCGCCTGGCCGCTCCCCGGGGCGGTGAGGGCTGCGCGGGACGGGGCGGCGGGGAGTTGGCGGAGGGGCGCGGGTTTTGCGCGGAGGCGGAGCGAGGCTGGGCGCGGCGAGGGGCGGGTGAAAACAAACACATTAAAGGGAGGGGAAAAGGGAAAAACGAGAGAGAAACGGGGGAAGAAAAAAAAAATAATAGTAAGGCGGGAGGAAGGCGGGAAGGGGTGGGCTCTGCGCGGTGCGCCGCCCCCGCGCTGGCTGGGCAGCGAGCAGAGCGCCGGGATGGGGCGGCCGGCGGGGGGCAGCGGGCGCAGGAGGCAGCCCCGCCGGCGGGCGGCGGCCCCGGGCAGCGGCAGCGGCAGGTACGGGCACCGAGACGGGCACGGGGCGAGGGGACGGAGTGGCGGCGCGGGTCCGTCCCCCGCAGGTCGCCGCGGGAGCTTGGGGCAGCTGCAGCGGGCGCTTAGCGGCGGGGTCTCGGCGGGGAGCGGTGATTTACGGGCTCCCGGCGGCTGTCAGGCACTGGGAGGCAGAGGGAGCTGTGCTCCGGTCTCCGATCTGTTACGGAGGGAAGCAAACCCGAGAGTCGGCTCTGAATCGTCCCCGCTCGAGGCTGGGGCGACCGCTCTCCGTCCTCGGCTTCTGCGGAAGCGGCGCTCAGGTGCGGAGCGGGGAAACTTTGTGTGGGAGCGGGCAGCTCTCCGCGGGCAGCGGCCGGGCGGCGGCGTGCGGGCTCCGGGGAACGCCTGCTTTGTTGTTTGTAAGCGTCGGATGGATATTAAAGGTCACACCGATATTTCCAGGTGGATATTATCCCTGCGCTTTAAAGATTTTTGGGGTATTTTCTTTTTGGTTGTTTTCTGTTTCTTTTCTTTTCGGATGATTTCCATCGCGTTTTGTCTCGTAAGCTGGAAAATGCAATTAAGTGTGCTTTAGGCTGGCATGTTGAAAATCCTGTCGTTCCGGAGGGTATCCCACTTGTTAACATGAATACAGCGCCGTGCTGGTCTGCAATTAGTGGCTCTTCCCGTCGTGGAGTTGTTTCTCACTTCAGGTCAGGGTGATGCTTGTGGCACAGCGTTTCCCTGCGAGGAGCTGAGCAGAGCTCGGCCCGCTGTGCAGAGCCATTTGTATTTTGATGCGTGCGTGGCTTGGAATACATTGGCTGTTGAGCGTAGCAGCAGCTCTGATGGTTCATCGTGCTCACATATGTGGTGCTTGCTGTACAGATGGTATTGTGGCTTCTCCGTGTACACACGCACACATTTCACACGTAATGTGCAGGAATTACAGCAAACTTCCTCTAGAATGCTGCTCAGGGCTCTGTAAATGGGTGGCATTCTTCCCGTGCTTATTTCCTTTGAGGAAAACGCGCCTCTTTCTGGGGGTACCTTTGTGCCTCGAGCTGGTTGTGTTTCTCTCCCAACATTTGTAAATTGACTTAAATAAATTTGAGGGAACAGCTTCCCGCTCTCTCTTAGTGCTGCTGTACGGCTCTTACATACAGATACTTTCACAGAGGACGTTCTGAGGTTCTTTCCTTCCAAGTCCAACAGGAAGTTCATTGTAAATCCCTGCGATCACTTTTGTGGCAGAAGAGAATGGACTTTTTTTTTTCCTGCTTTATTCACAGTATAAAATTCTGTGCACCTCTAAAGTCTGCTTAAGTCACTATTCAGTAAATTAAGCCGTATGTAATCACATTTAATGTAGTAAGCGATGGGCACGTTGTGTTGTGTTGGCAGATACTGTACAAACATTTACTCTGGCTTAGATAAATACAAATTGCAGTGGAGTGCTCTGACTCTTTTTCTGTATAACCATGAACTTTAACATTTTTTATATTAAGCAACATAAAACTCAGTTGTTTCGAAAACAGGAAGAGCAAGTTTGCAGTTGGAATTTATTACTATTCTCAATTATGTAGCTCGGTCTCCAAGAGGACAGCCAAAAAGCATAACCCAGGGGTCTAAAATGGTTTGCTTAGCAGGCTGCTTGCTTCCATCTGCATCTTCAGTTACAGCGAGCAGACACCCTCCTCCCCGCATCCTCCACTCTGTTGGTACCTGTTCTCATTTGTGGTTGAGATGGAACAAAGATAACATCATCTAACAGTGCTTTGTGTGATGCAGGAGTGTGTGCCAGGAATACAGCCGTGGCCCTGTCACAACCAGCTGTGTGCCTGCAGCCCCGTCTCGCACCCTTTTGCTGGGCCACCTGAAGGGCTCTGCTGCTGCAGCCGGCACTCAGCCCCGGGAACTGCTGGGACTTGGATGGAGAATTGTGAGGAGCACACAGTTAGATAGGATGCTTAATTACATACGCAATTAATTCTGACTAAATGGGTCTTCGATCTGATCGGTCCTGTCGTGGGAGATACATGGAGGTAAAGAGAGGAAGTCATAGAAGCTCCCTTCAGAGCATGTGTTAGGTGTTTGTAATAACTCATCTGACAGCCAGTCACACACCAACTGCAGCTCTTGGTTATTACGGTTATCTTTTTATTGTTTTAGAAACATTATTGCACTTAGCATAGGATTCAGCATCCCTTGAAGTGGAATGAAGCCCATTTAGCTGCACAGAGCTTCCGTAGAAATGTTGAAATGCTTTGGTTGTGCTTCCTTCTGAAAAGCAGAAATGTGAAGTCAAGTGGAGAGATCCTGGGTGGATGTGGCCAGTTCTCATCAGGTGTCATATGCGTGATGTGACAGGGACCCGTCTGGTTGTGGTCTGCCTTTTGTGAGACAAAGGGAGCGGCTGTATGAGCAGCTTCTGTGCTTATACTAGCTTATGTTGGGCTTAATTATGTTGCACTCTGGTGTTTTTCAGAGAATGCTCTGTGTGTATGTGTTGCTTACTGAATAGAGATGGTGGTTGATTACATATTTGTGTGTTAAACCTACCAATAATTCCAGTTAAGAAAAATCAGATGTCTTTCCATTGGAAAAGGTAGTAATCTGCTCCATAAGTAATTAAGAAAAGAAGGAAGGTATATTATTTGCATTGGGTAGTGTAAGTTATTTTCAGTCTTAGCAGTGTGTAATTAAAACAGTTCAAATGTTGCTTTCGTCAAAACTGCTGCTAGAACAGATGATGCCTTTTCTTATGCATCAGATAAGCTACTGCAGTTACCGTTAAAATTTGTCTGAGCCATTTTATTAAGTTGTTACTTGTTCTGTGAATAGCTGCCAGCCTTGAGTTCAAAAGAAAGTAGGTTCTGATTTGTTCCCATGTCACATGGAGGAGACGTGCAGCAAAAAATCGTACTACTGCCCATCTGATGCTGTTTCCAGGAGCTCTGCGTGCCACACTCTCTTTTCCTGGCAGTGGTGTGACAGTATTTACAGTGGGCTCAGCTCCTTCAAACAGGAATGCTGTTGGAATGGTCCCACTTCCAAAGCCAAACATTGGTGCAACCACAGAGCTCAGAGCTGCAGCTCGCATATCTAACATACAAGTTGTGTTGATTTCCCAAACTCTTCTGTGCCGTTCGGCCTTTGTTAAGTAACTCAGATTAGCATTTTAACAGCCCTGAAGTGAACTCCTGCCATTCTCCTCGCTTGGACAGTGCGTGCAGGCCATCCATCACCCTGTCCTTGGCCACAACAGCCTACTGCCTCCACAGCCATTTGGAGCTGCACAGAAACCACCCGACTGTGAACGGCACAGCTGGCTGCAGCAATTTTTCCTTCCACGCCACTGGCAGCATTGTCTGGCTATGGTAACTAAAGCTAACACCCAGAACAGGGAGCTGTTTTGTGCCGGCACCCAGACTCCATGGGCACAACTGGGCAGGCTGCAAGATGGCTGCTGGGCTGATGAGAGGAGGTGGCCACGGGGCTCCTTCTTCCCTGGGCCCGGCACACAGACTGCAACCTGTTGTGAGAGGGGATGGAGCTCACCCTGAGGGAGCCTGCTGGCTGCACCCTCTCCTTCAGCATGCAGGCCAGGCTGCGCTTCGAGAGCCGCCAGCTGAGGAAACACAACCTGCAGCTTCAACTTAGCCACGCAAACAGGCAGAGAGCGCGGAGGATTTCAGCTGTGTGTTTCACACATTCTTGGAGAAGCCTTTTTAGTTCCACAACGGAAACCATGTGATTTCACAGGATCCGTGCCCAGACTCTAAGACTTGCTACAGATGCGTTCCTTGGGTTGTTTTGCAGATCTACAAATGCAATAGGGAAGAAGTTGTAGGATTTATTGCTTAATGGTGACCTGAGCTCTAAGTGGCAGGTAACTTCTCCTCATGGCCCTGTGCTAATCTCACTTGTGGTGATTTTTTGCATAATTTAAGCAAATTGGCCTTGCGTGACTGCCTGCCATGTCAGCCACAGCTTGCTTGCTAGGAGGGAGCCTTGCTTCAAGAGCAAAGGAGGTCAGGAGGTGTTGCCTGGCAGGAGGGGCCGGTGGACACGGGCTGGAAGAGGAGGAGCTCAAGCAAGCAAGTGACATTTGTTCTGTCCAGAATGGTTACAAACCTTGTAAATGAAATCAGTCCCTGGACAGCTTTGATTTATATTCTCGTGCAGCAGATTGGCCTTGGTCTGCCTGACCTTGGTAACATTACAGAGGTCGCATTTGCACGCAGATAATCCTCTTGCAGAAAAGTTTGTTGTTGCTGTTATTTTTGTTAGCCATTGGTGCCCAAGAGCCAAATCCCAGCCTGGGTTTCTAATTGGGTAGGCCTCAAACAAACACAGAATGAGAAGGAGGGACCCTGTTTCCCACCAGGGATGGTTGCAGGGATGAGCAGCAGATGGGTGCTGTCAGGCAGGTCATTGAGGAGCTGTTGGCCTGCATACCCAGGGCCGAGCTGGTCTTGGTGCAGGACACACATGCTGGCTGGTGTCAGACGCAAGGAGGGCTTCGATGAGGATTTGTGCTGCAAGTGAGGATTAATTGGGCGGTGCTAGCTGGGGGGCTCCACAAGTGTGTGGGGGCAGCAGGGAAGCAAACAGAGCTGATTGTCTGGGAAGGGAACGAGCAAGCTGTGGGGACCAGCAGCACAGCACTTGCTGTCAGTACTGGGAGCAAGCCCTCAGCAGAGATGAGAGGTGATCAGCTGGTCACTCAGCTCAGCTATTACTGGGATAATAGGCTTTTCTTAACATGAGCTGCATAGTTCATCACTCTCGTGCCAAATGGTCCCGACAGCTGGGCCTCTGCTCTTTGAGCAGCAGCGAGGTGCCAGCCCACACCGCCTGCCGGGAGTGGCAGGTAGGGGTGTAGGGCCTTCCCCCAGCCTTGCTGTGCTGTGGAACAGAAGGCTTTCCCCTGCAGTCCCACTGCTGTGCTTCCCAGGCACTGGTGGGGAACGAGGAGAGTGGCGGCTCCTCGTGGCACCAACAGAAGGTGTTGCTGCTATTTCTGTGTACGTCTGTCATGACAGATGTGCTTTGGGGTCAGAAGAACATTGTCCTGCTGGTATTTCCAGCCCCAGTTTATATATACCTCTCCTTGGGCACCCCTCCCAATGCTGTGTGTGAACAGTTGTGCATCTATTGGACCATGCAACAACCCTGGTTTGGAAGGCTGCAGAGAAAATTACATGTGTATTTAGCTTGCAGGAGCCTCAGTGTTTACTTAAGGCTCCAGGATTAAAATTTTAGATGGTGTTTGAATGTAGTCTACTGTCAGTAAGGAGGCTGTGGCTCTGCCTGGTAGTGAAATAGTAGCTAAAAACAAGAGTCATGAATGCTCGGCAGTAAAGCACCCAGGTGTTAAGTACCAGGGTACCCAGTGCCTGGTGGCTCGGGGCTGTATCCTGCAGAAACAACAGAAGCAGGAGAGGGCCATTTACTTTCAAACAGTTGGCCAAGAGCCAGCGCTGGCACCCCTTGCAAATATAGCTATATTTGGTGTATTGCCGCCCAGAGACAAGTGGTGAAGGGAAGGGTAAGGATAAGAGGAAAAGCAGTGGTGTGAAAGCTGTCAACAGCATGCGAACAATGTCCCCAGGTGTCTCATGAAAGGAGTAATAAGGGGTAAAAAATCATCTTGCGGAGTTGAATGGGTTCTTTCAATTTACAAAGTTCTGCTCTCCACGGCAGTTTCTTAAACCCAGCACGTGTTTATCAAAGATTAACGCTGAGAAGCCGGTAATTTGTTTTTGCTCAGCAAATCGTATTTCTTCATGAAGTGAGTGCTACGTGGATATTTTTAGCAATGTATAGGTTTTTTTTTTTCTTAATGATAACCTCAAACTAAAGTAATCAAATCCCATGTTTGGGGATTAATCTGATTCCCTGCAAGGGTATAGATAGAATTTTTTTTGTCCTTTGTACCATGGTTCAGGTTTTACTCAGAGTGGATTATGGCTTTTCCTCCCACTAAAGCATCAGGTTTTCATCCTTGCCAGAGACATAACAAGCACCGCTCATGTGCTCTTACATGGCAAGCTGTGCCAGTGCAAACCTCAGTGTACTTGGTGCAGCTGGAGAGAAAAACAGACCTGCAGATGTGTATTGTGTGTGGTTCAGATATGATCACTTAGTCACATTCTTGCACTGGCCCAGTGCTACCAGTGATAACAAGGGTTTTGAGAAAAGTTGCAACTGTCTTGGGGATCCTGGGAGGCCAGCATGGAAGGGAGAAAGGGGCACGCTGTAGTCCAGAGCTCTAAAGCCTCTGGTCGTTCCTCCCTGATCTGCCACAGATTTCCTTATGACCTTGATTCAAGCTCCATGAACAGTATACTAGTAATTTAATTTTTTTAACTTCCAAAGCTCTGATTTGTGGCTTACATACCCAAGCATTGGAAGTAGTGTGACAGAAATACAGCAGTGCATGTTGCTATGGGGTGATACAGCTCAGGCAGAAGATGGGGACTGAGGGCTGGTGCCAGCACCATGTCCTGTGCCAGGGCTGGAGTGGGCTGGCAGCTTCCCATGGGAAGCAGGCAGTTCTGTGGGGCGAGGATTTACCTGGAGTAGTGTAATATGGTGCAGGAAAGTGTCACAGTGTGGGGGCCCAAAGCAGGACAGCTGTTGCTGCATACTGCAGCCTCAAACCTCTAACTGTCAGAGAGGAGCCAGGGAGCAGCAATGGGGCAATAAGTTACCTGACTGCTTTTATATCCATTTAATAACTTCTGCTGAAGGTAAGGTGAGGAGTCAAGCTGGCTCAAACCCTGCAGTAATACTTCTGACTTTAAAGTAAATAAAAGCAAACCAAACCCTCCCCAGTGCCCTGCTGCGATGCCCCCGGTGCTCTCAAGCATCAGTGCACAGACATCTCTCCAGGAGCCCCCCGTGCTGCCCCAGGCTCACAGCAGCACCCCTGTTGCCCCTCTCCCCCACCAGTGCCCATGTCTGTGCATACGCTCACAGATGCTCACTCACAGGCTACAAAAGCAGCAAATATAATAATGTGATCCAACTGTTCAGTGCTAGGCTAGAAAGAAGTGTTTTTCTGCCATTATGTGAAAATTTAGCGTGACTGGAACAGAGTCTGCATTTGATTAGGCAATTTAAGAAATGTAAGAGACTTCATACTGTAGGGCAGTGCTGCAAAACAATTGCTCGGAACATGTTCTAAAATTGGTTTGCCTTCACCAGATTTCCATGTGTTTCTGCACAGCATCTCAAATGAAAATATGAAGAGTCACGTGGCAAGGGGCTGCATTTTGATATTGTAGTAAATAAAAGTAGCAGTTTAAACAATTATTTTAAATACTGAATTGCTTTTGAGAAGAGAAAACACAAAACTCTCCCTTTATTTGCTTTTCAGCCTGGGAAAGACGTTTCATAACACATCCTTTGACTGTTGTTAGTTAATCTTTAATGCTTAACAAGATAATAGTATTCGTAACTTTGAGCTCAGGCTTCCTCTGGTTTTCCGTGCCTGCATTTGTACACGTAATTGATTGTGACCAGGAAAGTGGCAAAGCACATGCTCTGCATGTACAAAGAGGGAACCGGGTGGCCAGCTATCATACTTGTCCATGCAGAAAAACCAAGGCTGGCTAAAACCCTTCACTGGTCTCTAGAGTCAGTATTCTTGTAGGCAGGGCTGGCTGGCTGCTCTGGCATACTGATAATACCAGCGTGGTGCTTAGGATGCTCTGATGGTGATTCTTGCCAGCTGATAGTCTCCCTCTCCCCTCCCATTTTCCAGCAGCCATTTACCTTCTCTTTGATGTGAGCAGTGCCACTTTGCCCAGCAGCTTGAGCCAGCAGACCCATGCCCAGCGAGGTGCAACACGGCAACACTCCACATGGGGAGCACTGATGGGAAGAGGAGATGCTTTCTGGAGTGCGGTTGATGCCAGCATTGTTTGGGGCAGGACCTGTTAGCTGGATACCTTAGAGGACCCAACACTGGAGTTGCTCTGGGTGAAGGAGCTCTGGCATCATGTGCTCATGCATGTCAGGGCTGAGACCTTCACTGCCCACACCTGCGCATACTGGCTCCTACCTGTCCCAGCGCTTCCTTATCAGGCACTGCCTAATGGTGCTGAAAGGAGTGGCAGCCTTGCTGTGTCAGTCACATTGGCCTGTGCGCATAGAGGGTTCTTGCTTCCCTTCAGCTCTCACCCACGTTTGTAGCAGACTCCTAGAGAATGGAATAGGTGATACTTTGGTCTAGGCTTAGGGTTTTGTTTGAGGTTCTGCGGGGCACTTTGATTGTTTCTAACCTCTGTCCAAGCCTGTATGTACTATAAGTAATGAGATCTTTGCCATTTCAGTTTGAGATGTCTCCAGTTTTCAGGATAAAAACTCACAATTTGAGATTTCAGACTCAAAAGCACACAGAAAATGCCTGACACCCCATGCCCAGCTGTGGGCTGGCAGCACACCCAGCCTGATGGGCTGCAGCCGCCTGCCCCAGTGGGATGGCATTGCATTCTGTGCTTTGGGGTTGGAGCTTGCCAGTTCTGCCCACAGACTGGAATTAATGGGGTCAGTGCAGAGGGTGCAACACAAACCCCAACATCCCTCTCCTCTGCACCCTTCCTCGAACACTTCTGTGAATAAATGCAGCCTTTGCTCAGGCAGTCTCAGCTGGGTATAAGCAGTTTGAACTGATAGAACACAAGGCCTGCTAAAGTGGTGAATCCAGAGTAGGGTGTGAGCTGAAGTGCCTGTGCTATATCGCCTGCAGCTCAACCCCAGCACACTTTCTAGGGAGCATGTGCTTGCAGGAGTTCTGCACAACAGACAGCAGATCTGATTGTAGATATCAGCTGAAATCAAAGGTTGTTTGCAGCTGGAGGACTTTTGTATCACCCCGGTAAAGAAAGGTAGTTAACATTCACTCTCAAAAATTAACTTAAAATAAACATAATTGAAGCAATCACTTATGGTTTGCTCAGCATTTTATTTCCTTTCCAGCTGAAACTATCTTGCATTCAAGTAAATTTTTAATCGCAAGACAATTTAGCCCTCAACGTGCACCTAATCAGCCACTAAGCATTTGCATCATTAAAAGTCACCCTATCCATTTTGCAAGTGTTGTCAGCTTGTTCAGAGGAGAGGGGTGTGCTTTCTGTAATGTTAAAAGCCTGCAAACAACTGGAGTGTAACCAGCAGTGCCATAAGCCAATTAAGATGAAAGCTGTGATGCTCAGTAGTTGGGGTTTCATCGCTAAATATTAAACCTTTTTTTTTTTTTTTTTTGTACTTAGACATAGATCAAGAGGTGCTAATGCAGAAATCCTTAAAAGAAGTTGTGTTATCTTAAAATAACAGACTTGCTATTTGCGCTTTTGCGCTCAATTAATGTCATAGCTCCAAACATCCTGGATTTTTCTTCAGAGAATCAGATGTTAAGACTGTTGTAAGGGGTACGGGTGGCATAGAGCACAGGTTACAAGCTGAGTGCGCTTCTGTAGGACAGAAACATTTTTTCTTATCTATTTATACATAGCAATGCTGTAAGTTTTTAAAGGGGCATCAGTAATAATTTAATCACGCTTCTGTTGTTACAACCACAAATATTTTCCTGTGTTATTTGATAATTAGCTGAAGCAATTTGTCACCAAGCTCCACAATATGGATTTACCACATCATAGCAAATCTCTAGATTTAAATGTACATTAAATCTCTGCGTCAAGCAGTGCCTGCAGGATGTTACTGAAGTCAGCCTTCATTAACAGAAACATGTTTACAAAAGAACACATCTGAAAAAACAACTTGCAATTGCATCATTAGAAAATCTGTGTGTATATATGACCTGAAATGAGAGAATGATCCCCTACTGCTCACATACCTGCATCTGTATACCCACACGGATGCATAAGGCTGTTGTTGCATTTTATGTGGAGAGCTGTCTGGTATGTAAACAAAAGAGAATTTGACACAGTGAGACAGAGGGAGTAAAAATAGAGAGATGACAAAGAATTTTTTTCTGCCTTTGTGAAGAGTTCAAGCCTTGCAACCCTAGGCCGTGTTGGTCATCTACTTTGGCTCAGATCGTACAATGACCAGCACACTTTGCCCTGCGAGGCCCTCGAGTGGCAGCACTGCAGATGCTTTGGGCCCTGCCTGGCTGAGGGATGTGGCACATCCGTGGTGCCTGCGTGTGCGTTTTTACAGTGGGCTCAGGGCTCTACAGAAGGCCTGCACAGTGGTTTGTGTTTTGTGCTAAACGTTTCATCTTCCAAAAAGATGGACTCGTTTGACAAGTTCAGCAGGAGCCTGCCTGCCTTTCCTCACTGCTGCTGGTGAAGGCAGAGCACCTTACCAGCGAGCGTCTGCGCCTCCTCCCACCTGGCAGCAGGTCCCACCAGCAGTGAGCCACCTGCACAGCTTTGCTCCCATGCGCACAAATCCCTGCCAGCACTTCTGCTAGTCTGGTGAGGGCCAGAATCTGAACCAGGCCCTTTGCAGCTTGTGATTCTCAGCACATGAGTGATCTGAACATCAAAAGATAAGCCCTGAGGCTTATTATTTTAACCTAACTAGTCCTTGGGATGCACAAATTTTGGGAGGGAGGTGATGAAGACTGGTAGGTTCCCATTTAGAGACTGGCATAACTTACTTGGTTACATGAGGAACTGTCTGTGACTTGTTCTCACCCAGCCAACAGAGCTCTTGTTTGTGATCAGAAAGCTTCAAGGCGCTGATATGAGAAACTTCCTGAGCACCTGTGAGCAGGCATTAGTGAAGGACTTCTCTTTAACTTCTGCCTTATTGGCAGAGTGGTCTCATTCTCAAACTTGCAGAAGGTTCCATGTCATTAAGGCTGGTTCATGCCTTCAGAGGTGCCGGTAGGGAGCTTCTCATGCAGGGTAAGGATCACAGAACAGTGGGGATTTCCTGCTTAGTCAGCACCCACAGCCCTGTGGGACTGAGGGAAGCTATGTCTCCAAACGTGACTGAGCTCACGGAGCCACTCTGTGTGGTGCTCAGCATCACTGTTAGCACATGGCTGCAGGTGCCAAGGAGGTGCTGCATCTCACCTGGGAGCCTGGTTGCAGCCTGTGGGAAGGGAGGCAGTGCAATCTTTGAAGCCTCTTTGTGTTATGTGTCTGTTTTTCAGCTTGTTTTTTATTGCAGCCTGTTCTCTTTTGCCTCATCAACCTCTCCCAAAGTAACTTTCAAGATATATTTTCCATTCTGACCTATCTCAAACTTCTGCCTGGATTTGCCATACCACGCTCCCATCTGTGCTTAGCATTTTGCGAAACGTTTATTGTGTTAAGGAGACTTATAATTTTGTTTTGAGCAAATAGAAGATATTGCATCAGTCTGGGTTGAAGCTATTTTGTGCAGCTTCTCTCCAGCTGGCTGAGTGCCCTTTCCCTTCCCCCTCCTCCTACGTGGCAGCGCACGCAGAGCTGACTGATGGAGTGTCACCCGCGCCTTGTCAGAGGCTGCAGAGATTAATGGGCAGGGAACAGCGGCCTCTTCCCCTTCATGTGTGATTGTTTGAAGGAACGGCTCATATTTTAACAGAAGCGATACCCTCCTCCTTTGGGTTCCCCCAGTCAGAGTTGAAGGATAGGACTCGTATCTGAGATTGAAGGGTGCCAGGCGTAGGAACTGTAGGCATCTGGGCCCACTTCTGGCCTTCCTCTTGCCTAGCAGCGCTCAGCCTGAAGCTCGTTTCACTCAGGCTGCTCCCTCTGCACCGGTGTGGGCTTCTCCCAGCAGCTAACATCGCTACCTCTGTTCTTTTGTATTTGCAGACATGATAAGCAGTAGCACAGAGCAGATGCCAGAAGGTCTCTGGTCTGTTCCTTGCCTTCCTCTCTCAGTGCCCGTGGCCAAGTCTCCTATGCTGCAGAAAGAGCAATGCTTGCAACCCAGAGCAACTCAGGTGCTTTGAATGCTTTGCTCGCTTGATCTTGTTGTTGGCCTTGGTCACAAATGTCAGCGCTGGTCTGTGACTCGATTCCCCAACTGCAGAACAGGGATAGCAGTGTGGTAATTTCCAAAGCATTGCATTTGCCATGAATTATTTCCTAGCATTTCTAAAATTTATAAGAGAAATTAATTAGAGACTGGTCTGGATCCTGGCTGTGGAAAAACAGTCAGACCCAGAGTATGATTGTTTGCTACATTTTCTTGAGGGTCGGCATTGCCAGCGTTTCATAATCAACTGTTCTGGTCCAAAGAGATACTTGTTATTTGTAGTCCACAGTAGTGACTTCCATAATAGGTTTGACTGAAACAGGAATTATGTCTTTCACACCAGCATATCTGAGCGTACCAGAAGCACACACCTGGCTGTCATAAAGTCCTGTTCCAAGAGATTCTCTGATTATCTGCAGAACAGCTGCTCTTCAAGTTCATTATCTTTGCAGTGGTTCTGATCTCAAGTTTGTGTCCAGCCAGCTAAAAGATGCATTTAAATGCCTCTTAAAGCAGGTGCCTTTGTGTCAGTGTGTTAGAAATCAGGGTACTGTTCATTTTCTGGAGATAATTTAATGAGCAAAACATTAAGGAAACCTGAGCTGACCTGGCTGGGTATGGGCTGCTGACCCCATCCAGTTCTGTACTTAAGTGTTACCACCTCTTCTGTGTTTTTACAGTTCATATCTGGTGTATGTTCAGAGTTTTCAGGGTTTTTTCTCGAGGAATCCATAAATGTGGGTTTGTTTCAGTTCCTGATGCACTCTCTGGGGAAACACGTCCCATGGTTTTACATTTACGGAGGTTTGCCTTGTTTTCTGAGGACTACAAGTTGGGATTACAGCGTGCTGAATTGTGACCCGATCTGAGAGAACAGTCTCACTCTTGGTGTACCTGATGCTTTGGTTGTTTCCTTTCTGGTTTTGTGACAGTGGTATTTTTAGGCTATGGCTGTAGTGACTCGTATGCAGCTAACTGCCCTTTTGTTCTCAGCCGCCTTCTGAGACCAGCACACAGTATTTGCTTTTGTAAAGGAAATTTCATGCAAGTTTCAAATTTGTTGTCCCCACTGAATGCTTCCTCGATGAGATGCTGGGAGGAAAGAGGAAATAAAGAACCTCTTCCTAATATATGCCCATACTAGCAGAAGTTGTACAACTTCCAGGCTGTATACATTTTGCAGCCGGGATAAGGTGTCTGAGTCACAGTGTGCAGCCATGAACCACCTCATTTCTATGCTAACTAAGTTTCCATGGCTGGGAGACCGTCTTGCTCTGTGCCTGCTTGTGTTCATTCTCTAAGAAAGCAAGGCTTCAGGGAGGGCTTTTACTCAGCACTGGATAGATGTTCCTGCCCAGCATGTGCCAGTTAGGTGCCTTCCTGCCTCTCCTCTCCCTGGGACAGCAGTGGGGCAGATTTTTGGAGTCTGCTCCAAAAAAGGGACCATGTAACCACTAATGATTTGTTATTGTGTCTGGGAGTCTCTGTGCTGCAGGACTTTGCTGAAATGTGCTTTTGCAAGAAAGAACTAATTTGAGTAACTTTATTAATTCCAGTTTGTTTTAAGTTTGCTCATTAGTAATGTAATGCAAGATGCTTCAGCTGGAGAGGCCATGTCAGGACAAGGAGGAGCAGAGGGAAAGTGCCAGGAATCATTAGTGTTTATTAACCACTGCACTCATCAATCTTGAGTGAGAGCACAGCCCATCCGTTCTAGACGGGTGGACTGGGATACAGGAATATCATTAACAGGGGAAAATGCTCCTTTTCAGGTCAGTCTGTGATGGCCAGGCGTTCAGACAACCCCACAGTCACACTGCCCTCACCAAACAGCGCCTGCACTGCCACTGGTCTCCTCGCAGCCTGACCTGAACTCAGAGAGCTCAGCAGCTCTGGATGGAAGGAGCCTTGCCCCTAGCCAGCTGTAGGATTAATTAACAAATACAGTTTTCTCAACCCAAGTAAACATTACTAAAAGGTTAAGTGTTGTTATGAAGGGTTTTTTTTAATTGCTTTTCAAATTATTAAATGATTAATACTTAAGTGCTTTGCTGGATCAGGCCTGGCACTTTGTGCTGGCAATGGATACATCTCACAGCAATTTTAATGCTAAAATTGAAAGGCTTTTTTTAATTTTTTTAAATTTTTTTCTGTTCAGAGAATGCATTTAATAACTGATTCCAGCAACTGCATGGCATTGGAGTGGTGACTCAAAGCTCTGACCTGTGAATCGGGGCTGAATGGATGCTTCCAAAAGGTTGGAGGAGGGACTAGTACTCCATTTGCCAGGTTTCTAATGAGAAATATAACCCCTGCCCAGACCACTTGTGGTTGTTACAGATCGTATTTCACTTTGAGATGTTTTCTTGCATCCTACCCAAATTGCAGCTTGAGTTCTGCTCACTAAAATATCTCTGCAGTTTAATTGGAGAAGCGATGTTTCCATTTCCCTCTTAAAAACTTTGCTGTATAATGCTGTGCTGCTATCACAATATGTGCTGTGTAATATATAGAGCATATACCAAACAAGCAAAAGCAAACAAAGCAAACCCTGAAAGCTGCTGGTGAGTTGCAAGCTTTTGTCGGTAGTGGTTGGAAGTGGGGGAAAGCAGGATCTTAGGCAGCCCATACAGCACCATGATTGGAGTTTCTTTGCCACACTTGCATATCGTGCATCAAATCCTGTTGCACTACCAAGGCAGTGTTTGTGCATTTACTGTGCACGTGTGTGGACCACAACACCAGGCATCTGGTCCCGGATAGAAAGGCTTTTGCAATGAGCATGTTAGGCTTAGCTTTGTGATGGCACAGCCTAGAAACAAGCAATAATTTTAAAACATGGAATGGCTGTTCAGACAGATTGCGTGTGTCATGACTTTTTGTGGATAAGATTTAGGCATTTTATGGGGAAAGGATGTTATTGGATGACGTTCGGTGATAGAGGGGATGGAAAGAGATTGCAGTTTAATTAAAATTCTAATCCGAAGTTTGACAGTTTTTCTTGCCAGGTCAGCAGCCTGCATGTTCTGTTTATTATTCCCGTGAATTAAATGGGCTGGCAATTATCAGCTTCTTCAGAAATGCCTGTAAATCCACCTAAAAATTAGCAAACACCCAGATGTTTCAGAGCAGCTTTGAGCAGGGATATGACATGCAGGGTTTTCCACCAGTGTGCGCGCAGGAGCCTCTCATAAGCACGCTGCTGGTGCCAGTGCTCAAATGCAAATGAGATGCACCATTTGCAGTAGGAAGTCACAGTGCTTGTCCTGCACTGCTGCAATCTCACGACCCTGTTCCTGTTTTCAGGTAGTTTAACGGTGTCTCCAGGAAGGCAGCACCCATCGTTCACCAGCCATGAGGCTTCCTCTGCTCTGCGCCTCTGTGATGCTAATGAGTCTGTCCCAGTGCCGAGCTGTCAGCTTTCCTGAAGATGAGGACCCTATTAACATTGTTGACTACCACTGTAAGTAATCTGCAAATGGTGCCAGCCACTGGGGAAAGGCTTGCTTTTTTTTTTTGCTTTTTTTTTTTTTAAACCCTTGGGAAGTTAAGTTAAGAAAAAGATCTGTTTCCTTTCAAACTGAAATGTGTTTACTGGCTTTGTATCTTTAATAGAACACTTAATCATTTTCTTAAAAAAGCAATCAGAAATACAGCAATAACTTCAGGAAAAAGAACGTTTGCTGACATTAGCCATCTTTTTTTCATTTATATTCAAGACATTACTCAAGGAATTTAGTTTAAACCCTTCTACACCTAGTATATACAGCTAATCAATGCCATATATTGATTCTTTAGCTCTATAATCCTGAGTGATGGTGTAGCCCACTTTTACTTGCAGATTCAAGGCAATATCCAGTATTTAGAGGACGCCCTTCAGGCAATGAATCTCAGCACAGACTGGACTTCCAACTGATGCTGAAAATTCGAGACACACTTTATATCGCTGGCAGGTAATTTTCCTTCAGTCAGTTCATTAGATTAAAATTCTTTTCTCTTCTGGTTTTGCATTAATGTGTAAAATTCATTTAGAAAAATCTGCAGAATATGATAAAAATTAGAACTGGGGGAGGACTTCCCAGAGAAATACGCCATATCTTTGACCAGCGCATGGAAATTGGATTTGAAGGCTGCAGTTACTGTAGTCACACTAAACCCAGTGATCAAATACTCTTTTCCCTCTTTTATATTCCTGCCCTGATAAAAACCTCTCCTGATTATGTTAAACTTGGACTGACACATCAGGGACGCAGGAAATGAGTATGAAACACTTCAATGTTTAGAGTCTGGATTAGTCTTGAGCATAATGGAAAGGCAGAGTAAGAACTGGACAGTGTCAGTGCTATCTAAGGACCACACCAACAAGAGTCACCAGCGCCCTGTGCCCATGTCCAAACCTCTCACATTTGTTGCACGCAGAAAATCCATAAGCATTTCATAAAAACTTCTCGTCTAACAAAATAGATTTATCAAAACTAAGTCTAACTAATTAATGAATTGATTTGTGTCTTTTTACTGCTTGCAAACAGGGATCAAGTTTACACTGTAAACTTAAATGAAGTTCCAAAATCAGAAGTTACTCCAAGCAGGGTGAGTAGATAAAAGAACGGCAAAGGAGGCCTGTTTTTTCCTTCCCTTTTTCCTTCCCTTTTCCCTTCCCTTTTCCCTTTTCCCTTCCCTTTTCCCTTCCCTTTTCCCTTTTCCCTTTTCCCTTCCCTTTTCCCTTCCCTTTTCCCTTCCCTTTTCCCTTCCCTTTTCCCTTCCCTTTTCCCTTTCCTTTTTCCATTTTGCAGGGCTTTTTTTGAAATGAAAATGAAATTTTCTTTTCTGATTTGAACAGAAATTGACATGGAGGTCAAGGCAGCAGGACAGAGAGAACTGTGCTATGAAAGGAAAACATAAAGTAAGTTTATTGATGCATTGTCATACAGAAATGTGAATTATATATTCAGAAATGCGATTAATACATTTTAAATCTCTTTTCAGGATGAATGCCATAACTTCATTAAAGTCTTTGTTCCAAGAAATGACGAGATGGTGTTTGTCTGTGGAACAAATGCATTTAATCCTATGTGCAGATACTATCGGGTAAGAATATTGAATATGTCATTAAGGTGTTGCTGGTTTTGCTTGCCCCAATTATGCTGTTGCAAATAGCCAGCCAGTGTGACTGGAGAGTGTTTCAAGGTGAAATAAAACCAGACAGAAGCCAATTTGCCAAATTAAGTTTAGTGAAAAGACAATGTTATGTTTTTTGCCAGTATACGAAACAGAAATGACAGTGTCACCCATTTATTTTTCTTCTCTAGCTGAGTACCTTAGACTATGATGGGGAGGAAATTAGTGGTTTGGCAAGATGCCCATTTGATGCCAGACAAACCAATGTCGCCCTCTTTGCTGGTAAGAACTTTTGCTTGTAATGAGTCTAAATGATTAATGACACTAAAGGAGCCAGGGAGCTTTTAAAGCTAGCACAGGAAAGCTAAAGGTGTCAAGGTGCCTCTGCTCTTAAATTTTTTAAAGGGCCTCCAAAGGATTAGAAGCTGACCTGTTAATAAATAGGTTAGATCAATTTGGGGAAGAATGGCAGTAAAATAAAAAGGGCGGGGGGAATACAGACTAGTCAGAATTCTGTAGATTACTAAAGACCTCTTAATACTACATTTTCAACTTCTGTTTTAGATGGAAAATTGTATTCAGCAACAGTAGCAGATTTCCTGGCAAGTGATGCTGTTATTTATCGCAGCATGGGAGATGGATCTGCCCTAAGAACAATAAAGTATGATTCCAAATGGATAAAAGGTAATCTGGGGGAGTATCTTCCCATATACATGGTGAATGTAATTTCAGCAGCACACAGGTCAGATAATTCACAGCCAGCGTGCTTTGCACACGTGCCACAGCATAGCAAACATGCAGCTTTCAGTGCAGCATGATCACAGTAAGAAAGGGCCTCATAACCAATAAAGCAGTTTTTTGTTGTTAAGCGCATCAATGAGTGATACCTGAGCTGAAATGCAGTTCCTTTGAAGCTTCTTCTTATAGTCTATTAGCCAACACTAAAAGCCTTATGGTTCATATGAGTGCACTCATATTTGGACGTCCTGATGTGTCTGGAGGGATGGAGGCAATGTTAGCTGGTATGGACCTTTGGGAGAAGCCACTGAGTTGCACAGTGCAGCCAGTGTTGTATGCTGACTGAACAGTTCTTTGAAGTAACTTTTTCCTTGCTCTTTATTACAGAGCCACACTTTCTCCATGCCATAGAATATGGGAACTACGTGTATTTCTTCTTTCGCGAAATTGCTGTAGAGCACAATAATTTAGGCAAGGTGGGTATCCTTCCAGCAAGCTCTCATGAGCCTTGGCAGAATTAGATCATCAAAAAAGTAGCAGTAACAAGTACAGCTTACAATGTGAAATAAGGCTGTAGTACCAAATTTATGCAGTTATTCCAAAATTACAGTTTACAAGCAGAGAAAAAAAACCACAACAGTGCATTCTTCTACCAAAAAGTTATTGGTATTCTTCATGCCTTGCAGTTAGGAGAGCCCTATGCAGGTATCTTTTAGTGTAGCTGTTGCCTTAACACATGTGACAGTTAATGGAATATCTGGGTGGGTTTTTTTTCCATGCTTATAAAAGAAACAAAAGAACACAAAAGAAGAGTTTCAAAGAAGTTTCTCTAATGTCCGTAGATATTGAATAATTCAGTCATACCACTGCAGAGTATAATGCTAATGCCTCACCGTGGAAGGATATTCTATAATGAATTATTAACTTCTTCACACGTGATTAATTAAAGTCTTTAAATCTCACTAACAATATGATTTTGAATGGAAAAAAGGTGGCGACAAGCTGGCGGAGTTGCATTTGCTTGGCGATTCATTAAGATGCCTATGCACTAGCAGCTAAACATTGTTCGCTTTCTTCCTTTCTGCACAGATAAGTGGCAACTGTATCCTGTTAAAATTATCTGCAGTGTTTTATTAACGGCTCAGAAACAAGCACTTTTGCCCTTGAATCTCTCAGCCCTTCCTTCCGTTTCCATTTTTCCACCCTTCACAGGCCGTGTATTCCCGTGTGGCACGCATATGCAAAAATGACATGGGGGGTTCCCAGAGAGTCCTGGAAAAACATTGGACATCCTTTCTGAAAGCTCGGCTCAACTGCTCCGTTCCTGGGGATTCGTTCTTCTACTTTGATGTTCTGCAGTCTATCACAGACATAATAGAAATCAATGGAATCCCCACAGTCGTCGGTGTATTCACTACACAGCTCAACAGGTGAGAGATGAGCAACTTTACTTCAAAGGTAGTTCTCTGGTTCTCTCTTGCACTGAGATTGGTGCTATTGTAGGCTGAGTTCTTGCGACTCTTTTTCTTATTTTACAGCATCCCTGGTTCAGCAGTGTGTGCTTTCAGCATGGATGACATTGAGAAGGTCTTCAAAGGGAGATTTAAAGAACAAAAAACTCCTGACTCTGTTTGGACAGCTGTACCTGAAGACAAGGTACCAAAGCCAAGGTAAGAAGTTTTTCCTCATGGTACTATAAAGTTGTCCTTATAAAGAGATACTTTAAATCAGCTGCACTCTTGAGTGTTGTATTGGTTAAAAAAAAAAAAATAAAGCAAGCAGAGCTTTACTCTTCAACCATAAGGATGCTCATTAGCAGGCTGCCTTCTCTCATTAACTGAAATACCAAGAGGAGAAAAAACAGTGTTGTTCTCCTTTCAGACCTGGCTGCTGTGCAAAACATGGCCTAGCAGAAGCTTACAAAACCTCCATTGATTTCCCAGACGAAACATTGTCCTTCATCAAATCTCATCCTTTGATGGATTCAGCTGTTCCCTCAATCATTGAGGAGCCTTGGTTTACCAAAACACGCGTCAGGTATGACATCATTCAAAAAATGAAGCATGTGGAAAGAAGAAAGCACGCTGTTTGTTAATGGTTTGTCTTTTGGCCTTGATAGATACAGATTGACAGCAATTGCTGTAGACCACGCTGCTGGACCACATCAGAACTACACAGTCATATTTGTTGGCTCTGAAGCAGGAGTAGTACTTAAAATCTTGGCAAAGACCAGACCTTTCTCTTTGAATGACAGTGTGTTACTGGAAGAGATTGAAGCATATAACCACGCAAAGTAAGTATTATGAGAACACGTGAAATATGTAGCTTTTTATCTAGTTTAGTACCAAGGTAAACAAAAATGATAGTGAACCAGAACTAATTCATTAATGCCAACTTCATTGCTTGTTTGTCATTTCACAATGTCTCTCATGTTGAATAACCTGAAAATATTTGGTTATTTGCCATTTTGCTTGAGTGAACATCACAATTCCACTGTAGTGACGTCAGTGATACAGTCTAATTCTTCTACAAATACACTTCTTCCTGAATGTCAAACATCAGAACAATCTGCTGCTGTTCAAAAGAAATGATGAGAGCTTATCTTGAGTATTTCTCAACAGTAACCAGTAATATATAAACTGTATCTAATCATTGTAAACTTGTTTATTCAGGAGTGAAGAATTTGGGAGTGGAAGCATTCCAGTTAGACTGGCACCCAGTTAGAACTCTTGTTCTGTGCTGTTGAAATATTTATGCCAACTGTGAGAACCAAAAAAAAAAAAAAAAAGTGTTTTCCCCACATGTTCAAAACAGTTTACCTAGCTGTAAATGAGAGACAGAAGCCAGCATCTGATAACCCATAGGTCTGTTTGCAAATCACTCAGCAGAGTAGTAAGTTACATTCATATATGTAAGAAGTCTAATTTCAGTATCTACATGGACTGTAATAAATAGTTTTCAATGTAAACTCTGACCAAAGTACTGCAGTTGTAAAACAACAGCTTCCCATTATTTTTGCTGACCAGGTGTAATGCTGAGAACGAGGATGACAGAAGAGTCATTTCCCTTCAGTTGGATAGAGACCACCATGCTCTGTTTGTGGCCTTCTCCAGCTGTGTCATTAGAATTCCTCTGAGCCGGTGTGAGCGTCACGGGTCATGTAAAAAGTACGGCCCCGTTCCTGAACTCCCCCTAAAGGAGGGGTGCCAACACCCCTAAGGAAGGAAGTAAAAAAAATGCATGATTTTTTGTTTTTTTTCTCTTGCAAGGGCATGTATTGCTTCTCGGGATCCATACTGTGGCTGGTTAGACCACGAGGTGTGTGGGAGAGTGACACCAGGCATGCCGTAAGTACTACTTTTCAAATTAGGCCAACATCTCTACTGTGTATTTATAGACTACACAGGGCTGTATCCTGTGCCTGTTCTTGGCACTTCATTAATAAATCTCCATTTTTCCTAGAGCTGTTTTTCCTGGATACTATACATGTAAAGAGAACATGACCTAATTATGCAATCTCCAGGTGAAGACTTCAGTGGGAGTTTCACATGTGTGTGTGCGTGTGAGAGGACAAGCAGACTTGTAGGATGAGATGTTGGAAGCAGGCAGTCAACAAATTGCTGCCTGTAAACCTGTGCAGTTCAGACAGGGCAGTACACACCATCTCCTCCCAGGCATGCTCACAGTCAATTGCAAATAGGAAAACACAGATTTCAGACTTGGAAAAAAAGTAAGATTTTGCCTCCACGCTGAGGTTAGGGTGATATATATACATGTCAAAGGCTTTTTGCACAAATCAAGTCAGTAATATAGAGTGCATTGGCAGCTGTATCTTAAAATGAAGCCTTTGTAGCAGGGCCAGTATACTTGCATAGTTGTATCCAAAACCAAGAGGACACCCAATGTAGAAGATCCAGTGAGTTTGCTATGAAGAAAATATGATCTTTTTGGTTTCCTAGCATGAGCACGTATATTCAGTGTTAAAGCCCAGATATAATTAATTTGTATATTTTGTAAAACATGTTTTTTGGTCTTACGCTATTGGTCTTGCCTCTCCAAGGTGACAGAACAAGTATGATTCAATTTCTTGCTTCCAGGAAAAAAAAAATCACCATTTGTTTCCCTATTAATACTGTTAATTGCAGGTTCTCTTTGTTTGTTTCATACAACCATAGCACTGGAGGATATGTGCAAGATGTGGAATATGGCAACACAGCACAGCTTGGGGACTGCCATGGTAAGACATAGCCATTGCTTTTCATTTGTAGTGTCTCAGCAATAGTCTGTGGCCACACTTCACTGTAGCTGGTAAATTTATTATGAGCTTTTCAGTAACATGAATGCATCACCTGGCGTGACTGTGAATGTTCACAAAGCTGAGCTTTTTTGGTCCTGTGTGGCAGAGTTTTCTTTCTTCTCCTTCACCGATTTGCAACTATTTGGGGTCTACAGGAAAGTATTGAAGAATTTATTTTTTAAAAGTAGTAATATTTTAGTTTTTATTTCCCGTCACTCAGGTCTGAGATCTTTTGCTTTCTTTTTGTTACTTTTTACTGATTACTTGTTCCTTTAATTCTTTTAGAAATTTTGCCTACTACAGCTACACCAGATTACAAAATATTTGGGGACCCAACATCTGGTTAGTTTTTTTTAATTTTTTGAATTAATGACCTTTACTTTCCTTCAGTTCAGCATTTTCAGCCCTTTTTTCCTTCCTTTTGCACAGTTGGCAATCCTTCATTTTTGTGCTTTTACTCATGTTCCCACTGATGGTAAAGATAGTGAGACTCTTCTCACTCAGCACTTCACCCTGTGTAGTCGCATGTTAACAGCTCATTATTTATTGAGACATCTTTTATTAAAGAGCCTGATTAACATAGATGACATCTTCACTGCACGAAAGTCCACTAAGCTTTACTCTGTATCCCCAGCCATGCATTTGTGAATGCCCCTGTTGGTCATCTCTAGTAGATGAATGGCAGAATTTCATCATCTTCCTCCTTACCTCTCCTTTTCTCCTTCCTCCTTTCCCAGCAAGCTTTTGGCACAAATACACATTTTCTATAATGTGTATTTTCTATATTTTTAAAATGTTTCAAGTAGTTTGTGCTAATGGAAAAAAATATAACATCACAAACTGTCTAGCTTAATGAGAAGTTGTGTAGAAAAAGGTGGCTTAGAAAATTTTAGGCATTGTTGTCAAACGGACCTTCATATCCTTTCTACTTTCAGTGATTTTTTTCTAACAGTGTTTTTGCTGTCAGCCCTTGGTGTGTTCCAGGAGTCAGGACCCAGTGCTCCTCTGTTGAACTCAAAAGCAGAACCTTGTTGTTGACTTCAACAGGAACAAGACTGAGCCCTGATTTTTCTAGTGTTTGTTTACACCTGGAACTTGGTCTGTGTTTTCAGACTAAGGGCACATTCCAGACTGGCAAATCTGAAAAGCATCTCTTCATATGCTCAGTTTGTAGAAGTGTTGCAAATTATTTTTGTTTTAGTTTCTGATTATATTTCTGTAATCTGAAGCAATGTCTGAGACACGTATCTTCCATAGGTATATATATATATATATATATATATATATATACACACACCCATAATGTAATTTAGAGATTCAATTAGGAAAGCAAAACAAAACAGTGTCATTTGGAAATGCTTATCAAGCAAATTTTCAACCTGGTCTTTTACAATAGCTACAATTTAACCTGTTTTTCAAGTCCTGATTGAGCGTGCTTTTGGAGTACTGTCAGAATTCTAAGCTGCAGCCATTCATGCCTCGACCTCCTGGGACAGTAAACACAAAATACTTGAGTGTGCAAAGTGGTCTTTGGATTGTAAACCCAATTTGTTTCCTCCTCGTGCATTTTCACATAGGCAATAGTGATTCTGTTCAGTAAGTGTACTACAAAGAAGCCAAGATCTATACAGTACTGTTCCTTAGGAGCCATTACAAAATAGAGGTTAAAAACATTCCTTTCATCGTCCCTCAAGAAATGGCTTATTCAGCAGTTCCTGGTGTACTGTAGCAGCACTAATGGAGCCGATCTGGTTTCTGAGGAGTAACCTGTAGTAAGCATGTATATTTCTAAGTAATTTTTTTTTAAGATGTGTAGAAGGTAATGGAATATGTTGTCTCCAGTGAACAGTATAGCAATTAAGTAGAGTCAGTTCTGCTTTTCATCTCCACCAGTTGCTTACGTTAACTTTTGCATTGCTTTCATGTTTGACTTCTCTGGCTTTTTGGCTAGCAGCTGTTGATGTTTTAATGTATTTTTGTCATACTTAAAAGTTTTGAACCAATTGATTTTAATCAGCCCTCTGTACTTCCATGGGCTGCATTTTGCTCTGTCAAGTAACCTCCCTTTAAAAGCTGTCTGCAGCTATAGCTTAGAAATACCGTGAAACAGTGAGGAAAGCCTGACTGTAATACACATTAATAAAATCTGTTTGCCACCACAGACATGAAGTTCTCCTCAGCTTCCATTACCACAATGGCAAGTATCCCAGTTATATCACCTAGAGTGATTGGTTCCTGGAAACCTAAAGTGACTGGCTCTCGGAAATTTGTAGTTCAAGATGACCCAAACACTTCTGATTATTCTGATCCATTATCAGGTGTCCCAAAGGGTAAGGCCTTACCAGGGAATACATTGCAGCTGAATGGAAACCTGATAGTCTCAGCATTTCTAAGGTTTAAACGTGACAGCCATGATTGTTGGGCTATACTTCATACCCATTTCCTGTGAATATGCAGACAGTGCAATCATGATTCTCATACCTCTTTAACCAGCATACAGAGTGCTGCTTAGAGCTTATAATGGGGACATGCAGATGCTCAGCATCTCAGTGTTGGGGTGCTCCAAAACTCCCATAAAATCAGTGGATGCACTAAAAAAAAACCTATCTGCACCTCTGGTGGTGGTTTTCAAAGGAGTCCAGTTTGGAAAAGAATATTAGTCCTTGTGAGCAGTTGCTTACAAGAGCGGAATTTTCTTGTTGTTTTGCTTTTGTTTTTGATTTTTGGGGGGGGCTGATGAGTAGGGGAGGAACCGAGGCAAAACTCAGCTCCATGACAGATTCATGTTTTAAGTGGAGCACATCCCAAACTACTCCTGCCTGCAGCACTTTTGTGAAAACGTGGTCAGATCTGAGTAAGGATGTACTGAATTTCCCATTCTCTGGATATGAGGATCCAATTACAAATGATCTCCTCAGTACATGGAGACACAGACACAGTTTTTAATCTGAACACAGAAAGAAACATGTACCGCATGTAATTCATCTTTCTGTAGCTGTTCTTTCAGCTAAGTGAAGCTTTGATTAGGCTCTTATGGCAACAAAGATTTCAATTCAGCAGGACTGTTGCAGTCAATCAAAGACTCAAGAAGCTTCCAACCCCATAAAGAAAACTTAAAAGAAGTCTTCATCAGTGCACAGAATAGCAGGGTGACAGGCATGTTTGCACAATTCTGTATTCTGAAAAATCTCTCTAGCCAAAAAACATTTCTATTTTTATTACCATTCACCAAAACATATCAGGTTTCCTATCAGCCATTATAGCAGTGCATTTGTCATTTTAATTTGTTGCAGTTATTTTCCATTTTGCTTTAAGTTTTTTTTGTTATCATTTGCTCTTGGTTCTGAATCACATTTTGTGTCATAGCTATTAGTGAACTTTACTCATGTTCTTCTTCTGCACTGTACCATTAAAATCTATAACCCTGAAAGTTAACAATGTTCAAAGGCCTTGCCTCTAACAAAAATGAATCTGTAGCTTCAGTCTTGCTCTTTTGTGTGAACGTCCTTTGGGACAGTTAACAGAATTACTTCCATTAAGAACTAACATTATCTTAGCTGCAAGATGTCTGTGGTTGCTATAAAAAATCTCAAGAAACAAAGGGAGCTGGTTAATACGTGAATCACAAACTAATCCAGTACTCAACTTTTGTCTAAACAAAAAGTTTTCTAGATTTTAACACTGTATAGTAACTTAACCTTGCAAGGTGTGGTTTTTTCCTATATTATGCAAGTATTCTTTTTTGTTATTGACTATAAGTAGAAAGGAAAACTTCTGCTTTAATAGAATGCTGTAATCTTTAACTTAAAAAATTGTATGCTTACCTTATCAAACTGTGCCATTCCAAGGCTAGCGAGCTGCAGATGGATTAGTTTACAAGTTTTGCACCATATTATATTGATGTGGTTTTAACAATGCACTATGTAAGTTATACAGTTCTATGTAACATTTGCATAATCCTGTCTCTCTTTTGATACTGATTTATGAGTTGGGCAGAAAATTGAGAGAGAAATCCATCTATGAGTTATTAATTGCTGTCTGGCCCAGTAGCACCTTCTAACCTCAATTTTCCAGCACAAATCGTTAATGTTAATAGCATTCAGGCCCCTTATTTGTAAGCCTTAAAGGAAATTTAAGGACAGGCTAAAGAGATAGCACAGAATGTACAACCGAACATAGTATAAGGAGTGAAGCTCTGGCAAGCATCAGAACTTGTCCAAAGAAAGTAGACAGTCTAAATAGAGCTGATCAATGCCAACTCGGTCCTTTTTATTTATAAAATTATTAGCATGCAGCAGTGCTCTGGATTGCAGAGATTGCAGAGAACAGGGGGCACAGAGCGCTCAAAAACTTAAGGCCACTGCTGTCCTTGTGCAAGGCAGGCTAACTACTTCTGAAATAGATCAGTTTTAAGTATGTATGTGTAAATTTATGATACGCTGCATGTCTCTTGCAGGTGTAAGGTGGGAAGTGCAATCGGGAGAGTCCAACCAAATGGTACACATGAATGTCCTAATCACTTGTGTCTTTGCTGCTTTTGTCCTGGGAGCCTTTATTGCGGGAGTGGCCGTGTACTGTTATCGGGATGTGTTTGTACGGAAATCCAGGAAAATACACAAAGATGCAGAATCTGCTCAGTCCTGTACGGACTCCAGCGGGAGCTTTGCTAAACTGAACGGGCTTTTTGATAGTCCTGTCAAGGAGTACCAACAAAACATTGATTCGCCCAAACTCTACACCAACCTGCTGACCAGCAGAAAGGAATTGCCACCAAATGGTGATATGAAGTCCATGATGATGGACCACAGGGGCCAGCCTCCGGAATTAGCTGCGCTTCCCACTCCTGAATCCACACCAGTTCTTCAGCAAAAGACTCTGCAAGCCATGAAAAGTCAGTCGGACAAAGCACACAGTAATCTCAATGCTTCACGAAAGGAAACCCCACTAAAAAGCCCTCAGTTTTTTCCTTCCAGTCCTCCACCTCACTCTCCTCTGAGTCATGGACATATCCCTAGTGCTATCGTTCTTCCCAATGCTACTCATGATTACAACACGTCTTTCTCAAATTCTAATGCGCACAAGGCAGACAAGAAGATGCAACATATTGATCATCCACTTACAAAACCATCCAGCAAAAGAGACCACAGGAGGTCTGTTGATTCCAGGAACACCCTGAATGATTTTCTGAAGCACTTAAATGAAACTACTAGTAATCCAAAAGCAATTATGGGAGATATTCAAGTGGCCCACCAGACTTTAATGCTGGATCCAATGGGAAATATGTCTGAGATCCCACCTAAAGTTCCCAACAGGGAGGCATCTTTATACTCTCCACCATCAACTCTTCCGAGAAACAGCCCCACAAAACGAGTGGACGTTCCCACCACACCTGCAGTACCGATGACCTCTTTGGAAAGGCAGAGAGGTTATCACAAAAATTCTTCACAAAGGCATTCAATATCTGCCCTTCCTAAAAACTTAAACTCACCAAATGGTGTTTTGTTATCCAGACAGCCCAGTATTAATCGGGGGGGTTATGTGACGCCCACAGCAGGCACAAAGATGGACTACATGCAAGGAACGCCTGTCAGCGTTCACCTCCAGCCTTCCTTGTCCAGGCAAAGCAGTTACACAAGCAATGGCACTCTTCCTCGTACAGGAATAAAGAGGACACCCTCGTTAAAACCTGATGTGCCACCAAAACCCTCATTTGTTCCTCAAACAACATCAGTCAGACCACTGAACAAATACAGTTACTAGGACGCGTTTGTCCTAAAAATGAGCGTGGCATTGACCTGTACAGGTTGTGAGATGATGTTGTGGTAGACACATAAGACAGAGACTTGCTTGTAATTAAAGAGAACAAAGTGGCCAAAGAAACTGTCTTTACTTCAGCAACATCTGTGTCTTGCCACAGGTAGCTACAGCAAGACTTTGTGTACTTGCTGAGAGCAAATGAAAAAAGAAAAACAAAACAAAGGAAAGTGCTGGTCATTACATTTCTTTTGTTTGGAGCTAAGGAGACATGTAGCACAATGGGGTGGGGGCTACTTTACTGTTCTGAATAGCTAAAAAAGCAAACAAACAACAAAAAAAAGTTCTTGGGAAAAGAAATCTGTAAGCAAATACTTGAAAAATGGGTTCCATTTTAGACTGCCATTAAGCGTGGTCCTTCCCATTAAATGTGAACATTTTAATATGTATGCATTCACCTTGCCTCTTGCACAAATGTCAGAAAATGGTAATGTCTCAATGACTATCTGGGTTAATAATCAATTTGCTGGAATTCAGTCTCTGGCCCAACTGTAGCATTTATTTTTATTTCTTTTTTCTCCTTGTGTGTGGCATTTTGTTTGTGCCACAGATAAAGCTGTGCGTGTGTGTGGGTGTATGTGTGTACTGTACACACTAGGATGTGCTTAGATTCCCATTGCATCTTTTATGCTATGGAATTGTTTACATTGAGCATGACTGAACAAACAGATGACTCTGCCTTCTGCAGCCCATTGGGTTCAGTTTGGCAACAGCCAAGGAAGAACTGTGCGTTGCCGCCAGCCTTCTGCATGACAGCCTTGATGAAGTGTTCACCCAGCAAAAAGAGTGCAGATACCTTTAATTCTCCATAACTCTGTTATGCTGCTATCGATTCAGAGCTGTACATTTCAAACCTAGTCGTTTGGGCTGGGATGGGGGAGTTCAGCTGTGTTTCCACATTGCCTCCATCCACTACCTGGCCACTGTGAACCTGAGCCCCTGTACTTCTCATTGAGGGCAGCTAGTAACAATTCTTTTGGCAAAAGCCTGCTTAACTGGAGAAGGTTACACGTTTGTTGCATTTAAAGATGCCCTGTAGTCTGATAGACTCTTGTCAGTGAAGAAAAAAAAAAAGACAGACACATTAATTGGCCTGGCAGAAGCAGTCTGTGAAAAATCAACAGTAGTGCAATCAATTTGTTTTTGTTGTTTAATGTAAGGTTGTTGTTTTTTTTGTTTTTTTTTTTCCAAAGTCATGCAGGTAATGACAATATTCTGTAAATATTATGTGTGAGTTTACCTGAATCTGTGCATTTTGTGCCTTATTCATGCAAATGATAAAAGTACTAAAAAAACAAACAAAAAAAAACAAAAAAAAAAAAAACAAACTGTCAAGTGTTCTCACTATAGCACATATCTCCTGAGTGCCAGTTGTAAAACCTCTCAACAGCACCCCCCCCCCAAAAAAAAATAAAGATAATAAGCAAGGATAATTAACAATAACTAAAGGCAGCCTACAATCCAAGAAGACAGCAGCATTAAATCACCTTGCCATGATAAACATTCCACTCCAGCTCTCCGAAGGATCAAACAGTTATAATGTGAAATCAAATGAGGTTTCTAGGGTAATGGAACACCTGCTAAAGTTGTGTAAGCTATTTAGTAGGTTTTACAGTATCCACTTGCAGCTGATGTTCAACACAGATGGCTATTTTAGCTTGCAAACTACACACTACCACATTGTTTATTGAACATAAGTATAGAAATAACCATGGCAGAGGAATGAATTAGCGGGACAAATAACTGCAACGGGTTTCAGAGATGGTGGAGATTTATGTTATGTGTTCGAAGGGGAGAAAAGGTTAGTCACTGAAAACTGGATCTCTTTTACAGAACAAAGAATAAAGGACAGCAGTAGTCATTTTTTCTTGCAAGGCTGTAAGGGACATTTATTTCCTGAGACCTCTGCATCCAAAAATCAATGATCTCTCTTCCTAAACACTTATGTCTTGCAACTAAAACACTACAGATTAATAACATAAAAATGTACTTGGTTGTCAAGAGACAAAAACTGATCTGAATTCACTCTACAAATATTAATTAATAAAGACTTGTGTGAAATCGAAAGATAAATGTATGTGAACCCTGATAACCTCCTGTAACATTGTGCTGCCTTGTAGATGGTAATGTGAGTTCTCTCAGTATTTATGTTGAAATTTCTAACATTCAACCTAGTCTTCATTCTGTTAATTTAATAATAAAAGATGCTTTATCCATTTGTGCAAAGGTAAACGCAGATTGTATCTTTTTTAATGGTACGGCATAAAAAAGTAACCCTTAAATGAAGCTGCTCTATACTATAGAGTACTTTAACATGTATAGATATCTTGTAAACTTGTATTGTGGATGTGTAAATAATACGTTCTTTGGGTTTTTAACACCGCATGTAAAGTGAAAATAAAATATTCCAATGTACCGAATGTGTAAATTCATTGCTGTTAAGGTGGGTTTTAGGTACACTTGTTGGAATTTTAATAGAAATCTGCTTGCCTTTGGTGAGGAAGGCAGGAAGACATCCCCTCATCAGCATTACAGGGCATCAGACAGCTTGCAGCAGGTGGTGATGACACACACAGGTGTACTGCCATTTTCAGTGCAGCTGCATGACCACAAACAGATTCTTGAAGTTATGCAGACAACTGTCAGCATCCTGAGTGAAATACAAAACATCACAGTAACTAGCATGTATTGCAAGAGTGTAGTGCAGTCAGCATAGCCACACCAACCAGATGCATTCAGTCTGAAAACTACATAACATACCTCCACACGAAGCTCCTCCATTGGAGCTTAATCCAAGTTGAGCTCTGTTACCTATCAGCTCCAACTGCAGTGGAGCTCTTGGGGCAGCTCCAGAGGAGGGCCACCAAGATGATCAGAGGACTGGAGCACCTCTCATACAAGGAAAGGTTGATGGAACTGGGATTGTTTAGCATGGGGGAAGAGAAGGTTCCACAGAGACCTCATTGCAGCCTTCCAAAACTTGAAGGGAGCCTATAAACAGGAAGGGGAATGACTGTTTACAAGGGTGGACAGTGATAGGAAAGGGGGAATGGTTTTAAATTGAGACAGGGGAGGTTTAGATTAAATATTAGGAGGAAGTTTTTCCACACACAGGGTGGTGATGCACTGGAACAGGTTGCCCAAGGAGGCTGTGGATGCCCCATCCCTGGAGGCATTCAAGGCCAGGCTGGATGTGGCTCTGGGCAGCCTGGGATGCTGGTTGGCAACCTGCACATAGCAGGGGGTTGGAACTGGATGAGCTCTGAGGTACTTTTCAACCCAGGCCATTCTCTGATTCAATTATGGAAAAGTTTTGAAACAGGATGTTTTTTTCCTCCTGAAATATAGGCTACAAGAAGATAGAGATCATTCTTGGCAAATTAATTACAAACCTACACATAGAGGGACATTCCTATTTACTTAGTAATGCTTGGTACTTGAAATTCACCTTTCAGGCAGACAATAAAGCCCAACAGAAAGATACATGCTCTACACTTAGGATGTGCCAACAGCACAGATAATTTTAAAATAATCAGGGTCATTTAGTATCACAGTATAAATATGAAATATTCTTTTAATTAAAAGCTGATTTTAGATAATGGATAAAAATTATTATGAGATTATGGTGTCACAGTATTAATCATCCGAAGTTACTGTGCATGTTAGAACAATACAATGACACCTGGTTCCATCTTACTGGGAAAAAAAAAGGGAAAGGAAACAGTGCTAAAAAAAAAATAAAATAAAAATCCCAAAATATGAAGCACAATGTGTATTTTTCCAGTACAGGAACAAATATTTCTTTTTATTAACTTGTTGTAAGCCCTGTGCAGCTTTTCTACTACGGCTGTGGTAAGAAGGTGTCAGCCAGAACAGCCAGAGGTGTTCTCTATGGAGGGGCACTGCCTTTTGAAGTCCATCCACCTGAGTGATTATCAGCCTTTGAGAGTTGGGGTATGAGACATTACAGATAGTGCACATGAAGAGTCCATCTAGCACCGAGAGAATGAAATACAACCATTCATTTTGATGCCCACTGAAGCAGCCTTCATAACCCACATGACGCGGTGCCAGGCACCCAGCAACCCAGTACACCCTCCTGGGTGCATTCACACATATGGAAAAGCATTGCTGAGAGAGGGAGGAAACATATGAGAAGGCTGACAGTGCAGCAGCACAGCCTGATGCAGGAGCACCAGGACAGGGTGAGGCCCCTCTCCTCTCAGACTTCCTTCATCGTTTTGCAGCCAATCACAACATAATTGTCAGCAGCAGTGAAAAAGACAAAACATAACAAAAACACACTGCCAGCACACAGTAGCAAGATGATGATTGCAGGAAAACCAATTTGTAAGGCTGTAAGTAGCTATCTGTATGACTGTGCTGCCAGCTCAGACCTATGGCCTTTCAAATTGGGGTCTTAAAGTAATCAGTGCAGTTACAAAATTCAGGATGCCTCTGTCTTAGTGCTGTCTTGCTAATGGCTCACTCTGCGACCCCTGGAAGATTATGCAGGGCTTAGTCAGTGTAATGGAGCCTGGAAAGGCAGAGCCTAGCTGCAGTAGGCACAGTTGTTCTGTTGGTAACGCTTTCCACGTACTGAGGTTTTATTATTTTTCCTCTCCTTTTGTGATTCTGAGCACTAGTGAGGATATCTTGCAGGTAAATAAAGGAAAGGAGAAGTCTCTTCCCGTCTGGGGAAGGTTAGTATCGGCAGGAACGGGGAGGAGCTGCTATTTCTCCAGGCACCCATTAATTTCATAGATAGGAAAATGTTTTTTAAAAATTGATCAGGACAAAATACCGTCATAAATGCAGCAGCTGGACTTCAGCTGGGAAGTGCAAGCTTCTCATATAAAAAGCAGTACCAGGAGACCCACCTACCAAGGCTGCATTTGTTGTTCAAATGTCATTGCAGCGCAGTACGAAAGAGCAAGAAACCAAAGGATTTGGGAGGAAAAAAACATTAAATATTTAATTAGGTTCAGCTCAGAGAGCTATAGATACTCATTTTTATTCAGTCATACTAAAATGCAGCTGCTGTGAGGGCCTGACTCCATACCAGCCGCTGCTGTTTGCCTGCAAACACTTTGTAGACATACTGCACTGGCCAGACACACATCTGAAATTATCATCTATCCTGAACTCTCAACCAAGAAAATGTTTCTGCTCTGCCTGAAATGAAATTTATTGGAAGCTCTGATTTTATTAGTGCATTCTGAATTCATCCGATGACCTGATTTATGGTCTGCTTTCTTGGGATTTTTTTCCTACAGTCACAAACAACTTTTCCAAGCTCTGCTTTTTAAAACCGTAACTAAATCCAAGCAGTGAAAGCCACTGACCAGAGCAGGGATGCCATAGGGTGCCCACATTTAGGTAACATCTGCAAATTCCTTGGACCCCAGCAGGGATGACGAGACCTCTCTGCCAGACTGGTGCCTCTGTCCTCCGCATCAGCCAGAGAGTGATAGCTCCTGTGAGGCTCCAGCTGCTGAAATACTGCAGGGGAATGAAAGCAGAAGAAAATCTACCACATGGATAGCCTGTCCTGACCATTGGTATGAATGGTCCCATCTATCAACAGAAAAAGAAGCTTACGTCAGGGAAACCTGAATGGTAAATAAGTAAATAAATACTCCAACCCCCACAGATCTCGCTGTCCTTGTTTTGTGAGTCACAGGCTGTTTTTCCAATGAAGAGTCCCTCCAACTTGAAAGAAAATGAGCAAAGAATGTCAGTTCTTTATGAAAGCTCTTCTGTAGGATCATACCTGGCTGTAAAAGCTGTTCTGTAACTTTTTCCAGTAGCTGACCTTGCCATTGGCAAAGGCAGACCATGAGCTAACTGGTTTGCTTCTGTAGCTGTCTGACAGCCATCAGCATGTGTCTATTCCTGCACAAAAATGGATGGCTACCTAGTAAGAGAAAAAGTGGCAATTGGCTTTTAATGTGGGTCACTTTAAGCACAGCCTTATTTCTCAACTCTTTGATTTACAATGCTGGTCCCACATGAGGAAAAAAAAAAATAATCAGAAGTAGACCAGAGCAGATGAATCATAAAAGCAATGCACACGCTAGCTGTGCTTCCCTTTCTGTGCAATGAATATCCATGTGATTACTCCCATTTCCTCTAGAATACATATTGGTCAATTAACAGCTTGAGATTTTTTTGTTATGGACTAATGACAAATTTTTATAATCAGGCCATGCTGTATAACCATGAACGGCTATTAGTCACAGGTTATTGTGCCTGGCCAACGATTAGGTGAGCGAGAAGCACTGCCAATATTAATGCTGTGTGTGAGAATTGATTTCTGTGAAGGCTGGTGCGTGCAGCTCTCACATTCAGTCTCTGCCACTGCTAGCACAGGTGAAATACTGTCTCCATCAAATGCAATGGCAGAGCTGCATGGGGCCAGGCCCTCACCTTTAATCACTTAGATGTTCCCAGGAAGCAAATGTGAGCAAGGCCACAGCAGGATGGGTGCACACCTGCAGGAAGTCATTTCCTGTAAAAGGACAGGACTCTCCTTAGCAGGGAACCTCCAGAGGTCCCTTCTGACAACTGCAATGCTGTGATTCTTTGGCAGAATCCCATCACCAGCTCTATTCATGAGTGATGGATAAGGAGACAAGGGCTTCAGAGTAAGAAAAATGCCCATGTGTGAGTGGCCTGTTTTTCCTGCTTTTCATAGGGAACTCCAGCAAGTTCTGCAATAGCAGCTGGGCAAACTTGCTTAGGCCAGCCAACTTTTTGCACGTACAGGGATGGCAACATCTCTGAACCACAGGTGTGGTTGTATGTTTTCCTGATGCTAAATTTGCTGGGAAAGTTCACCATGTATTACACTGAACCATGGCATTAGGCTCCAGACACTGAGCTCTCAGGCATTGTGCTCCCTGAGCATATTGATACCAGCCTGTGGGCAGCAGATCACAGTAATGGAGGCAGAAGCAGACATTTTACAGAGTTTTTCACTTCCATTTATAACAGCCCAGGTAAAGAGCATCAAGATATCAAAATCTACTGAAGGAAATCTTTTCAGTGATTCAGGAAATCACTGAGCAGAACTGAGAAGCGGAGCTGAAAGACAGTAAAAATGATTACTCGTCCTTAAAATCCTTCCTAAAAGAGCTTTCAGATTAAGCAGATCTCGCATAAAGGTGAAGGCTTCCTTCTCCCCAGACTAAGATGAGTTTGCATAGCCAACTACCATTTTTATTGCAGCACCTCTCTCTGACATGCGTGGAGTGCATATCTCAAACAGCCCTTTGCCGTTCAGATCCTGGAGGACACGGGCAGATCCTAACACACAACACACCCCTCTCCATACAAGTCTTTCATCTGAAGTGACAGGGAGATGAAAGGTGAGGTTACACAGCGTGCAGCATGCTGAGAGAAAGTCACGTGGTATTTCAGAGCAGCTTCACCGCTGGATGGGCAGCTCAGAAAGCATTTGCAAATGAAATTTTACTACATTGATCTATTCCATATTACAAGTGTTCCTTGCTGGTTCCTGCTACTTCAGTTTAACTGCAGTGCTTGGGAAGAGGCTGCATTTCCACCTCCATGGGGACTACACCTCCAGCCAGAATTTATGCCCGTCATCTGAGGGAAGGGATGGCCCACAGCAGGCTCTAAATGCATCAGGTATTCCAAACCAGGAGACACAGTATCATGTAGGACACAAACTAAGATCAGTTGCCAAAAATACACTTTTTGCCACATTTCAGACTACAACCACTTAGAAACCTGTCATCTCAGTTTGACGAGGGAGAAGTAAATATCTGCCCTGAAACTGGTTGACAGAACGGACAGTTTTATGATGTTGGCTTCTAACATTAACTTGCACAAGTGCCACACAGTTAACAGTGTCAGCAGTTTCTATCTAAATCCAATACTGCATTTTTTTTTATAGTCCTCCCTGTGCTCTCTAAAACAGTTTCACTTGTCCTGCCCAGGATCATAACTAACCTGCCTTGAAGCCTCATTTTGATATTTTACTGCTCATTTGTTTTTCATAAACTGCTGCCAATGAAGCCTTCTCCCCTCTCTGCTGCTTCCTTGGATGTTTTAGCCCCACTCCTTTCTGCTTCACATCCAAGGTCAAACCAGGGGCAGAGGAGCCCCACTCCAAACAGTTTGGACCAACGAAACTGGTGAAGGGTCTGGAGCACAAACCCTATGAGGAGCAGCTGAGGGAGCTGGATTGTTTAGTCTGGAGAAGAGGAGGCTCAGGGGAGACCTCATTGCACTGTACAACTTCCTGAAGGGAGGCTGTGGTGCAAAAGGGTCTGGCCTCTTCTCCCAGGCTAATAGGAGGACCCAAGGAAACGGTCAGAAGTTGTACCAGAGGAGGTTTAGGTTGGACATTAGGAGAAACTTTTTCTCTCGGAGGGTGGTCAGGCACTGGAATGGCTGCCCAGGGAGGTGGTGGAGTCGCCGTCCCTGGCAGTGTTCAAGAGGCGCCTGGATGAGGAGCTACGAGAGATGGTTTAGAGTGGTACTAATAGGAATGGGAGGGTGGTTGGACTAGATGATCTTGCAGGTCGTTTCCAACCTTGTGATTCTGTGATTCAGTTTGCCTTCCTTGTGTCACCTGATCTCACCTCCAAGCCCATCAGCAGGAATCACAAGACAGACTTCCCTGGGGATGGTTTGATTAGCTCTTTCCAATCTAGCACAGGCTCCTCCATCCTATGGATGTCACTTGGATGTTTACATTTGCAACTCTGAACGTTTCTCCCAGACACCCATCAAATACCCATAAATAGCTTGGCCACTGTAGGGCCAGGCAGAGCAGTGGGAAGAAAGTCCCACACTGAACCAGGAACATGGAAGCAAGTCCGGAGAACCAGTAGCAACCGACATGAGATATATGTCTGAATGCCACTCATGCCTCTGAAAATCCTCTCAGCTGTTAGGTGCCTTTAATCCTCACTCTGTTCAGATATTAACAAAGACACCAGCTGTGATGTGTAGGCACAGGGAAGAACCATGGCACCTCTGGACGGCATGCCCCTAATTCCAACCTGAAGACGCCACAAATGCCAGCCAGCTAAAACCTTGGGATGAAAACAGGGCTCCAACCAATTACCTCAGACCTTTAAATCCACAATACCTGACACAAGTATTTCTGAACCGCCGAAGTTGCAGAATGTGCTTTCATTTGGGGGTTTTATTTTCCTAGTTGGATTGCGTTGCTGTTTTAGCTAGTGTTCTTCAACAAAGCAATTCTGGAATACTCATCACAGAACTGCAGGGGTTGGAAGGGACCTCTGGAGATCACCAAGTCCAAACTCCTGTTAAGCAGGTTCCCTACAATAGGTCAGGTCACACAGAAACATGTCCAGATGGGTATTGAATATCTCCAGAGAAGGAGGCTCCACCACCTCTCTGAGCAACCAGTGCTCTCTTACTGTAATGCTATAATATGATAGAAAGTACAGTGACAGTAGCAGAGCAGCACAATCCTAGACTGTAGCAAATGAGAACAAGCCCAAATGCAGCAGCTGTGGACAAGAAACAAAGGAAGAAAAACAGCTTACCTTCAGAAGGCCTCAAGTACACAGGGACCTCCATGAGATAACCCTACCTCCACTGCCAACCCTTAAATGAGGTCTGGGAGGGGGTGGATCCTGACTGCATCCCTTCCAGTCACTCAGATGCATTGCATTGCATTGCATGCACCTGAGCTCCCCTGAGTTGGCCCTGCCTTCCCACCAGGTGCTCAATCACTGGTTCAAGCTGTAACTTAGCATTTCTGCTGCACTCACTCTCACAGCAAAGTTCTTGCCTGTGTTTGTATGGAACTTAATAAGTCAATGTGGATTTTTTTCCCCAAGAATATTACAAAAGTTGATATGAAATGCACCAGTCTGCACTCCGTTTCTGCCGAATTTAATAAATTTATGTGAGCCAATTGGCAATATATATATATATTTAATTAACTTTGGAGTTTAAATGGAAGTTTACTAAAATCAGAACATGTTAAATGAATAATTTCTCTTGGCCTCTTTCAGAAAGTCACTACCTTAACCCAATAATCAGCTCAGCTGCTATGAGATCAATAAGGTCTTTCAATTCTATGAGTAGAAGGCATACATTAAAAAGTTGGTAACAAACGTGATAGACTGCAGAAGCTATTACATGGGTTTTTTTGACACTAAATCTATCTGCTAAAAATTCCTGAGAAAAGGTTACTGCCCATACACTAATGTTGCCAAATGGTATAATTAGTGTTGCTTGAGAAGATTTCCTGGCACTTGGCCCTAAATACAAGTCCTGTGTGTTAAATTCTCATTACAGAAAAAGCCATAGTTTTAATCACAAAACCAAAAATAGCCTCAGACACCAAACACTGCTGGGTCTTCCCATCCCATAAACAGACAAAGCACATTATCGTTCCCTAGTCTGTAAAACCCCCAGTCTAGCAGCCCACCAGCTACAGCACACACAGCCCACAGCCTTGGGCCACTCTCACCAGAAACATCTCCACA